AATTACGATACATAAACAAAAGTAGCAGATAATTTAGATTAACACTTGCTAATCCACTTATTTAATAAATCAATAAACTCCAGTTCTTTTAACTCCTTAGACTCAAGCCTTATGCTACTAGCATCTGGCCGAAAATCCCAATTTACTCATCGGACGGTGAGAGAGTCTGATAACGTTTATGTCTCTTTGGCTGAAAACTAATCCAAACCATGTTATTGTCCACAAAATTAATAAAATTAATTTTTTTTTAGGTGTGGTGATAATTATTAGGAGATCATGTAAATAATTTCAGCAGAACACGCAAAAGATCATGGGTTTAACATTAATTTTAACTTCAAGAATTAACCTGCTTTTATTTTTCAGAAGTTGTTTATTTATTTTGTAAATACAAAGAGGATGTAAATTTTTAGAACAGTGATTTTTATTTTTCAGTTAACAGACTTGTGTATCTTGGATGTCGGATGCCTCCAGTTTCCTTACAGTGTCTTAGCAGCTTCTGCGTTAACTCACATTACATCTGAAAATCTTGCAGTTTGTGTTTCTGGTGAGATTTGATAATTTCTCTTTTTAAACTTGAAACCAGCAACACCTTCGTTTGATTAAAATCATTAAATTCATTTTTTTTATATATAAATAAAAAATTTAAAGGACTCTTGTAACCATGATTAGCAACCTATACAGTCGGTTTAGGGTAACTAATAATTAGTTAATTTTATTATTGTTACTAGGTGTAACTTTAATTAGTTTATATCAGTTTTTCTCTGCTAATGTGCTGCTGTCTTCAGGGAATACGAAAGGAAAGGACTCTTTATAGTAGCAAATGCTGGGATTCAACCCTAAACCTTCTTGTTAGAAAGGAGCAGTTGGTGTACTGTCCACTCGACTGGGGTCTTCTCCATTAGAACTTGAAACAACTAAATATTTGAATGTTTACAAGAGGGGTATTCAAGTTTTGCTGACTTCTATGCTAGGTCGACCAAACATGTTATCAGCTAAGTGCATGTAAAAGACTGCTTTTGTTCTTTTCTTTTTCTCCTGTGTTGATGTCTGATTGTCACAACCTTATCATAAAATATCCTGCTTTAACATCAAAGACCTTTTTTTTCGAACATGTCAGGATGAAATTCTGTTAAATTAGACAAACATTTATACTCTTTTGGATATCAGAAAAATAGTTGAGTTTTGGATAATTAAAAGAACACTTTGTATTCAACATTGAAACTCTGAAACTGCTTTAAATTAAGATTTATAGGTTTTGTCAAGATACTGAATTTCTTTCTGTTAAAGAATTTTATATTCAAATAATTATTAGATCCTGCTTCATTATGTAGGTCTAACAAAGTGCGGGATCTCGTCGTGTGTCCAATGGATGGCTGCGTTTGCCGCAACATTGAAGGAAAATGGTCAAACTAAGTTGTTTCACCATGTGACGGTAGATGACATGCACAGTGTACAAACACATAGTGTTGATCTTCAGTTACTGGTATAGTTATTATTTATTTAAGCTAAGCTTGTATAAAAATAGTATCTATTTTTGATGGTTAGATTCAGTGTTTAGGTTTTACCTGCTTTCTATCGAGAGCTAACTTACGATGAAACTTCAGGTCTCAGGTGTGGAATTTGTTATCCGTTTATGACCAAATATGTTTCTATTTGAATAATTATTGTGTTGTTAACTATGTTTACTCCAGTGGTATACTTGTTACCCATGAATTTTTTTATTCTAAAGGACCATGTAGGTGTACCGTTATAAGGGTTTTTCATACAAAATCGTATCTAAAAGACGAGAATCTACATCATGATATGCACAAAATAAGTTGGATGAACTTGGTGAGTTAGTTGTGTGGTGTACGAGACAGGTACTGCAAGTGATCAAGATTAAAAGTAGCTTAATGCTTCTGAAGTTTTGTAATGAAAAAATATAGGGACTTTCTCAAATCAAATCTTTCTCAAAATTCTTTTTATAATTTTCCCTAGTTCTGGGGAGGAAAAAAGGTTTAGTTACACTTTGTTTCGAGGTGCCCATTAATCGAGGTTCTGCTGTATTTACTAAAGAGTTAAATGCTTTTGTAGTTAAAATCATAAATAATATTCAACGTTATACTGGTACACAACTAAAAACGTTTTATTTAGGACTAAATAAAATGTTTTTAGTTGTGTACCAGTTTAATGTTGAATATTATTTATGATTTTAACTATACACAAGTGCCAAAATACTATATTTATGCTTTTGTAGTGTTTGACTTAACCAAAAAATATTAAAATATTAATTTAAAAGAAATCTAACAGAAATTCATGTGTTCAGGTGGGACAGTTTGAAATTTATTTAAATTATCATATTTTAAAGTAAAATTGAATAAAACTAATTTTGTAAGTTACTGATGTTAGCTTTAGCTTCCTTTCTCTTTTATGTTGAATTTTGTTTATCATATTCTATAGTTATCTGTTTTGTGAGGATTATAAATAAATAAGTCTAAAAATATTTTCACAGGAGTTTCTGAATTTGTTACTTTTTAAATAAAGCTAACAGAATGTATTCTTACTTTGTACAAATTACAGGAAAAAGCACAAGCTCGACAACCAGAAACAAATCCTTTCATTTCACAAGTTAACCCACAGTTAGTGAATGAACCTTTAACTCCCCATCAGAGTAGCAAAAAGGAACCTTCAAGATATGAATCTACACTGTGATATGCTTAGAGGAAGTTGTATAAACGTGGCGAGTGAGTTGTGTGGTATACGATACAGGTGTTACAAGTCTTCGAGACTAAAAATAGCAGAATGTTTTTGAACTATTCTGGTGTTTCTAAAATAAATCATTTTTATACACAAACTTTGTTTGTGCTTTGTAACGAGGGTCGGTGAATTATAAATTATCCAAGGTGAGAGAACGTGTTAAAATAATAGTCCTCGTTATCCTGGTGCTAATTATTAAGTGATGTAGCTTCCATGTGTACACCTGGTAAATTCAACTCTTGAGGTTAGTAATGTCAGGATTTTTGTCTAGACAGCATACAAACTTGTACGTATTGACCTTGCCTTTGTGAATGAAAGTGTTCATATAATACTTTTTCCCTGTATGCTGCATTCCTGGAATGTCATAAAAAATGTTTATATCATTAAGTTTCAAAAATTAGTGTTCAGTTTAAATTTCGTAAAACACTTTTCTGTTCCCTAAAAGACTTCACAATGCTGTATAAACAGTTTCATTTTCCCTCAAATTTTCTAAGAAAATGTTGATTTATGTATTTTTAAGTTCTAATTAGAATGTTGTAAATTGCATTTGTATATGTGTATGTATTTACGTATACTGTTGCCAATGGCATTTTTTAGTTCGTAAGTTTTGTTTAATAACACTATTAAAAGTTTTGTCATTAAGTCGTCTTTCTGTTCATTGCAATAATTATTAACCAAAGCAAGTTCTGTTACGGATGTGTACAAGCAAAGAATATTTCTATACATATTATAATATAAAAAAAACGCTTATATTTGACAAAAAAGTTACAAAAAGGTTTTAAATGTTGCTCTGCATCGTGTCGAATAATTTTCTAGATGTTACACGTGTTGTTATTAAAGTTTTAGAATGATAATTTTTTGAATTTACTAGATATTTCTAAAGCTTAAAATTTAGACAGGCTCAGTGTTTAAGTTTTCAAGTTACCATGATTTGTTATTATTATTATATTTAAAATATTCATCTGCGTATCGTTTTTAAGATCAAATACATAAAAACTGTTTAAACAATAAAAGGACAAAAAAGATAAATTTATTCTTGGAAATATAAGCTTCAAACGTCGAGTTTGTTACACATTATTATTTTTAACAGTTTATTTCCATTGCCGAGGAAAGGCGTTTAGTTGTCTGTTCAAATAGTAATTTTCCTTTCTTTAAAGGCAAAATAAATTTTTTGGGAATGGTTTCAATGTTGGTTGTTCTAAGATCTGATTTTAATCCAAGCAATGTAAGAAATATCAAATATTTATAAGATATAGTTTAATGTTATTGTATTGTTTAGAAAAATTTTGTTGATAAAATAATAAATGTAGTAATGATATAGGAAATTATTTAATAAGCTTTTTACGAAATCATATATTAGGAAATATTTATTGAAAAAAAAATGTGCTTTTTATATAATTCTATAAATGTTTTACATGCTTAAATAATATCTTTAAGAATTTTTTCTCTCACAAACCAATAAGGTAGTTGTCTTTTGTTGTTTTTTTAAACAAGAATATTGTTTTATTATCCAACTATTTGAATTATTAACTAACAAAATTTCTATCTAATATATTCTGGAAGACATTCCTTCTGATTTGATTATTTGAGTCTGTCGCAGAATTATTTTTCTAGTCGAATGGTTACCAAGATGTCCTTCCTAAGATGAATGGGGGGGTGGGGTGAGAAGACAAAGTACAAAACTGAAAAAAAAAATTATGCTGTTTGGTATGGTTGAAGTATATAATTACTGTGTGAATGTGATAAATGTTACTGGTACATGAAGAGCTTAGATAATAACATAAATTTCAGAATCAAACTGATCATAATAGTCATTTGTTATTCCGAACGCAATAAAACGTTAATAAAATATTCTGGAATATGTAAGGAAACGAGTATGAATAGTGTCTGTCGTGCTTAATGTAACCGTATTTAAACCACAATTTTTTTTTTTTGCATATACTCCCTCATTTATGTACGAATTAAAAAATGTACTTTGAAAAATTAATTTGACTACTAAACTTGAGTTATATTACTGTGTATCTCTTGGATAAAAGTACTTGTAATTTTTTTTTGTTATAATAAAAGTTAATAAGTAATGTGCAAAGTTAGTCCCTACTTTATTAAAATATTACAAACATTAAAGCAACTTTTAATTAAGAGCTCAAAACCTTACAGTATACAAAACGTTAAAAGTTTTGACG